TATTCACATAACCCAGTTTTAGAGTTTGAAGATAAGAATCGGATGCGTTTACTTTTATTAGGACTAACGACTGTTCAAAAACATTCAGCTAGCAATCGCTTCTTTATAAGCAAGCATTTAATCGATTTATGGGCTTCTATTCTTGTCAAACAATTTACTTGCAGGTGAGTCTACTAATTCTTCTTTAATTTCTTCGTCTCTTTGCTTATTGATCGGTTTATAACTTTATATGCAAGCATTTAAATGTTTGATAAGCTCTCCTTTTGATTTATGTGTTAGGCTTTATATGTATCATATTTATTTCATATTAAATATACGTTAAAATATAAAAATTATTATGTTAAATTAGTACTTATCTATGAAATACAAATTATATTTTTTTATTTTACTAAATTCATACATAATTTTAATTTTTATTAAAATTTTAAAACGTTTTACTTTCATTTTTTTTTTCATATTATTTTTATATTATATTATTATATCATATTTAAAATTATTAAATCTATTCATTTATGTCCATGCTTTAAGTGGGAAAAAAATGCTCCCATGACAAGCGCCCTGTTAGAGAAGATGATAATAGATTATAAATCTAATTCCACAACTACTGCATGACAATGATCTTCTCTATTAGGTTAATCATGCTAATCAACTTATATTTTCCAAGTGTTGGAATTTTTCTTGTTTACATTTATAAAGATAACAATTTTTATGAAGATCTTTTAACAAATTATGCTCACGATAGTGAATTTAATGTTGTTAAGTTATTTTATTCTCCTCTACCTTAGATATATTGTTTAAAAGAATACTTCATGATGTTGCACGGATAGGGCCCATGGAGCATATGCACCGAAAAAATTATATATGTAATATAATAATAATATTATTATGGGTCAAAATAGAAAGTTTAACAAACTTAATTAATTAAATGACTAATGATGTAATTTATTTTATACATTACTATATAAATATAAACATAGAACTTGAATCTTATAATTTTAAAGATTTGAATTTCAAAATAACTTTTTAAATTCTAAACTTAATAGATTTGGAATAACACTGTTAATTTAAGAGTTCGAGTGGTATTTAAAATGGGTAAATAATAATTATTAGAGCTTTCTCAACGTGGGATTTGTTAATTGTTGGTTTTTGTTTGTTTTCTGGTAAAAGGAAATGTTTAAATGGTTTAGGCTATAGAAAAAAAAAAGCAAGAAATGTTCTTTAATTTCTCAAGTCATACCCATAGTAGTTTTGGAGTTTATTCCAAAATCTGGTTTATAGTGCAAATGCATATGTTTATACTTAGCTTGTTGTAATTCTGATAAGAAATGATGGTGATAGGTGTGGAAGAGAGAACAATATACCATACCTTTTTGTAGCTCTGAGGTCAATTTATTTGTTTGAAATATTAAACTGCAAAAATATTTTTCTATGAATATCACAGAAAAAAAATATACATGGAGATTATTTATCTTTTTATAGGAGTAGTGGTAATTAAATTTAACTTTTATTTCTCAAATGTTCAAAGATTATTTGATCTATATACATGATGAAGGAGATTATATTCTACTCTTCAAATTGTAATTGATGCTTTACGAACAGAGTATTTTGTAAGGCAAGATCCTTTGGAATTGACTGAGAGCATACATAATACTTCAGCCAAAATGCAGCAGTCTGTTCCTAAGGCAAGTGGGTCAGGATTGCCCAAGCTGCGGAAGGAAGAAGAATGGGCTGCCAAAGAGATCCATTTAACGGATGATAAACATAAAGTGTCTGAGCTACCAAAGTCTCCGAACTGCTCTTCATTGATTGCATTGTATTTGCAAGGGAATTATGAGCTGACAGCAGTTCCTCCCCTATTCTTTCAGCGCATGGTCCTGCTCCAAGTATTAGATTTGTCCCATACTAGCATCAAATCTTTGCCAAAATCTCTTCCCAAGTTGGTTTCATTAAAAAAGCTGTTGCTAAGAGGTTGTGAACTCTTCATGGAACTATCACCTCAGGTTGGGAAACTCAAAAATCTCGAGGAGCTTGATCTTGATGAAACTCAGATCATGCATCTACCAAGTGAGATTGGAAAGCTAGTCAAGTTAAGTCATTTGAGAGTATCATTTTATCATATCTGTGGCAAAAAGAATTCGAAATCAAACTTTGTGATTCACCCTCAGACAATATCAATTCTCTCACAACTTGCTGAATTAAGCATTGATGTGAATCCGGCAGACAAAAGGTGGGATGATTCTGTGGATGCCGTTGTGAAGGACGTATGCAACTCAAAAACATTGAAGACTCTTAGCTTGTACCTGCCTAAATTCCAACTTTTAGATAATTTATCATTGATATATCCTTCATTGTCACACTTTAGTTTTACGGTTGGCCATCATAAAAGGAGAATCATATCTCGGGTACCTCATGAAGTTGAAGCAGAATTCAGAAATTGGGATAAATGCTTGAAGTTTGTGAATGGTGGAAACATCCCAATCGAAATAAAAGCGGTACTCAAATATTCTTCTTCATTTTTCTTGGACAACCATGCAACCGCTATGAATCTATCTGAATTTGGGATCGAGAATATGAAAAGGCTAAAATTTTGCTTGTTGGCAGAATGTAATAAGATGGAAACCCTTATTGATGGAGAGATGCAAGACGAAAGAAATGAAGATGATCAATCTGAATCTGACACTGGTTCTGCAGAACATGTGCTTGAATCTCTAGAATATTTGAGCATTTATTACATGGAGAATTTATGGAGTATTTGGAGAGGACCGAATCGTTATGGGTATATGTCTAAGTTAAAATTCCTAGCGTTGCATACATGCCCCCAACTGAGACATATTTTCTCTCGTACTTTGCTTGAAACTTTTGTCAACTTAGAGGAGATTATTGTTGAGGACTGCCCCCAAGTCACCAGCCTGGTAAGCCATGCATCTGTCAAGCCAATGTTGCCAAATAAATTTCTCCCTAGTTTGAAAAGATTACTGCTTCTCTACCTTCCTGGACTGGTCAGCATTTCTAATGGTCTATTAATAGCACCAAAATTAGAATGCATAGGCTTTTATAATTGCCCAAAGCTTAAAAGCATATCAAAAATGGACTTGTCAAGCAAAACTTTGAAGATAATCAAAGGAGAATGTCAGTGGTGGGAAGATTTGAATTGGAATGAAACAGAGTGGGTAAATCGGCCAGATTATCTGATGCGTATCTTTTGCCCTATCAGTAATGAGAAAGATGTTATGACCCAATTGACAGAAGACAGGGATCTACTTGACGCTACCACACAAAATGAAGGCCAACAAAAAGGTAATATATCTTTTAATCTTAGTTTTTTTTTTTTTTTATTAATCATTAGCTTATGTGTGAGATCAATTTAATTAGTACATGAACTTTTTATTTTTTGGATAACATGAGTCCTGAACCTTTTTTTTTTTCATGATAACGAGTAAAATTTTATTATCGTCCTAAAAAAACTAATTGGAAGAGACCAAAGCCAAGTCATAACGTTAAAAAAAAAGTTTGCTAACAACTTATGAGAAGTGAAGATTTTAACATTGCTCATTTTGAATATTGGTAGATGATGAAAAGTTGCTCGAAGTTTCAACAAAAGATCATAAAGGCCGGATCTTAGGTAATATTTCTTTGCAACCCTTGTAAGACGACTCTTCTTATTTTTGGTGTCTTTAACTCTTTTAGGTAATTACCGTTCATGACTGTTAGATTATACGGAGGAGAGAATAACGGGGACAGACGTGACAAAGTCTCCTTCGTCATTCATACTTCCATCCAATCCCTTGACTGGGACAGACGTGACAAAGTCTCCTTCGGCATGCATACTTCCATCCAATTCATGGACGCGAACAGACTTGACTAAGTCTCCTTCGTCATGCATACTTCCATCCAATCTTTTGAGGACGTTTGATGTAAGTATCTATCAATATACAAAGCAACCAACACAACATGCATTGTTTTATCTTACAATATTTTGTTTTATTTGGGTTTTTAGTTTTACTGTCTTGAGGGTCCGTTATTCTGACTGGAAATGCTAGATCTCCTTAAACTACAAAATTAGAAGCCTTAACTTGACAATTTGCTTGGCCGGTTAAGAAATGAAGCCCTATTGTTTGTGTACAACTTATTCAAAATATTCAACTTAATTTAGCAATTGAACTATTTTGATTGTTTTTGTTTGTCTCAATGTAATTTTTTTGAATACTTGTGTCTTAATGGCTTTTTTTTTTTAATCTAGATTGCCTTTTTCTTTTAAACAGAAAAACTGTGTAAATCTTGAATATACATACCCATACAAGTATCATAGCCAAGCGGCCAGGATTTTGTTATATTTTGGTCCAAAGTGTAGATTTGATCTCTCATATTGAGGCCAATCTGGCCGATATAAGGCGGATTAGTGCAGCATTCCCTTCCCCTTCTCAATTTCTCTCTTTCTTTCCTCTGTCTTTCTTTTTTTTATTGCAATATTTTAAATTTTACAGATATTTTATGCTATTAAAATTTTTTGAACCTGAGACTTAACTCAATTGCTTCATGAATCTGGAACCTAAATTCTTTTTTGTGCCATTTTTTGTGTGTTGTGGGGCAAAAAATTTTTCAAGATAGCATGGCATGTCAGGGTCAAACTGACCAAACCAACAAGTTAAGGCCTTTCCTTAATACTGTTAAGGATTTAACTGTAATCAACATTTTATGAAAGTAAAGGATACTTGCAATTGAAGCAGAGGGACTAAATTTAACAAAAATAGAGGAATCAGAACGGGGATGTTAATAGTGATGTTTTGTTTACTATGATGGCAATAGGCATTACTGGATTGATTCAATTTTTTATCCATTGTTTTAATTACAACTCCAAAAAAGAAAAAAAAATTATAGCAGAATTCTCCGATTTTATAAACAATCCTTGTTGTGACGAGCATGATTATAATTTATAGTCATCCCCACAAGGATATCTTAGCCTTCAACAACCATTATTCAAAGTGTATGTGATTTGATTTTGTTAATTTGAGTCAAATCTTATTTCTCAGCCTTGATTCTTTATTATCATTGCACTGAATTTGTTCAAATTTCAGGCACCAAAACAAGCATTGAGCTTTTTTTCATCAGAGAAGAACAAGAGGCTAGAAGATGATTACTTTGATCAGGCTTCAGAAATTTGTGAAGTAGACGTTGATGAAGATGAACCTAAGGCCAAAAGAAGGTCAGTTAAGCATTTTTTTTTTATGTACTCTGTGAAGTAGACATTGCTGTTCTCTAGTGTTACTTAACCTATTACTATTTAAACATTTTTATCCTACAGTAGTGCCCTTCACTTCCTTAAACCAGAAGGGTTACTTTATTCTGTTTGCAGTCCCCGTTCCTCCAATGTAAAACACCTTTAAATTTCTTTCAGTCCTCACACCATGGATGAAATTGAACTTATGGAAGTCAATTATGCAAGTGGTTTGGTCAAATATAATTAAGCTTATGGGTAAGGTTTTATGAAGGAGAATTTAAATGGGGTGGTTTAACATTTTGCAGCAACTGTACTGAGAATGAAAACAAGGGTGTCATAGGTTCTGTGAGCAAAACCACGAAAGGGCATAGAGTTGCAGTTCGAACCAGAAGCAACAGTGAGTTACTTGATGATGGTTATAGATGGACGAAAAATGGAAAGAAATCTGTCCAGGGAAATCCCCATCCAAGGTGATTACTTCACCTAATATTGTTAAGGAAGTTCTGAAGTTGCTAAACAGTTTTGTTGATTTAATTATTACCTTTTCCGTGCCTTTATCCACTCTGTATAGGGGCTACTACAAATGCTCGACAATGGGTTGTCCAGCGAAGAAAAGGGTTCAGCGAGACTACCAAGATACAAGCTTTTTGATCACCACCTATGAATGGATACATAACCATCGCTGTTATAACATGGGATTGTATGATTTGCACACTCGACTTTGTAATGATCATAGGGCCAATTACGTGGAAGATGCTGCTGATTCAGCTAAGACTATCAGCCCTACAAAAGGTGGGCAGTATCCTTCCTTGATCATCATATGATCAATTTTGATGCAAATTAAAGAGCAATGATGTTCATTGAATCTCGAATCCTTCATTAATAGGAATGATTTTATCCTTTCTGTTTTGTAATTATAAGTTGATGGTTAATACCTAAATCATGTTGGAGTTTACAACAATTTTTGCAACCTGATACATCATTTCTGGCGAGTGTGTGTATATAAATGCTTAGGGAGAAATTAAATGTAAATCTGAAAAAAGAATAAAATGAGTTATATCATAAATTGTATCATAAAGAGGGTAGTAGTGGAGGAATGTGCTCAACTGTTCTGTTTCTCTCATTTGGTTGCACTAGAAATTATGTCAGGTAGCATTACATATTCAATGCCTAAAAAACCGGTTGTTTGAGAAAAACTGTTAGTAATGTCTGGTGCATTTGAAATTGGCAGGATATGAAGATGTATTTGAAGCATCAATACAAGATATAGGTGTACAAACAAGGTATATAGGTGTACAACAAGATAATTAATTCTTCTGAACTTAAGGTTTCTAATTTTTTTTTTTTCCTGTCAACTAAGTCTAGATGCAGATAGAGAAATACAGCTATATCTAAATGATGAACATTTATTGAAATATGAATCTCCCTTGTCATATTACAAGTTGAGGTTTAATATTAAATAAAAACCCAAAAGGATTGCATGCAGTTGAATTTGTGTAGGGCCTGGATAATCCAATCCATTTATTGACACTTGCCAGATTTATTTATCCTCATTTTGCTGTTTATTTGGAAAGCCAGTATGCTTCTATTGATGCATTTGAAATTGGCAGAATATGAAGGTATTCCTGAAGCTTTGATTCGAGATGAATCCCAACAATCAGGTAATTATTCAATTCGAGTCTTTGGGAGGATGTTTTATCAGCATTTCGTAGTTTAATCCAAAGGTACTCTCATTTAGTCAAGAGCAGAAAATCAGCTGATGCATATTCTGCCATTTTAGAAAGTTCATGCTACACATTTCAGGAGTATTGCTGACTAAATTATAAAACAACATGCTATGGATGCATGTATGCATGTATGCCTGCCAAACATTTTAAGTATTCATAAAACTTGTTCTCACGAAACTAATGAATTCTTAGTCCAATACCTCTTTGGCAGCAGACCCACAACCCTCAGAACTAGCAATCAGAACGTCAGAGTCACCACCTTCTCCTATTGGAAGTACTCCCTGGAGTGAGGTCTATGACTGTGATTTCAACGAACAGGAGCTCAAAGATGATTCCGATAAAAGGTATAGATAAAACACAAGCACTTCATAATACAACTCAACTCAACTCGTTAATCAAGCCTTGTCCCAACTCCCAATTCATTTCATGCAATAGATTGCTCTGTTGCAGAAGAACTCTGTCAAGATGGACGGAACTAATCCGAGTTCCGTCTACAGGCTTGAAGGTACCTCCAGACGATGGCTTCTCTTGGAGAAAATATGGACAAAAAGAAATTCTCGGTTCAAAATATCCAAGGTTTGAGAATTTCCCTTTGTAATGAATAAGAACAAAAGCATAATGCATATCTATACTCTATATACGTATATATATTAACTAATACTCCAGGAGAAAAATAGCAATTGATATTTGGTCCGTTTCAATTCTAAAGCATGCAGAACCCAGAGTCCTAAGTCATAAAGCCTGACCTTATCTGTTGTCAACATGTCACTGATTAAAGCTTTCCTGCCTGCAATATATAAATGTTTCCGCATGTTAGTGCCATTGAGCTTTGCCTGACCTCATATATACTAGAGCATGATGACAAATTTAGCTGGATTTAGCTGTTCTTTTCTTCTTCTATCATTGAACAGTTAGATGTATGACCATTATTATACATGTAAAATCCTAGCTTAACCAATAACCATCCTTTTTTTTTTATTATTACAGAGCCTATTACAGGTGCACCCACCGACATGAACAAGGTTGTAAGGCTACAAAGCAAGTAACGCGATCAGATGATGACCCAACAATATTTGAGATCACTTACCAAGGAAGGCATACTTGTACTCTTGCCTCACATGGAGTGCCTTCCCCAGGACCATTGGAAAATCAAGACCAAGGAACCTCTTCTGTATGTTCCACGTATTGGAAAGCGTTTCAATGCTGAACTGCAATACTCTTTGGTGGCGAAGCCACAGCCCTCTGAACAAGCAATCAGAATGCCAGAGTCGCAACCTCCTCGTGTTGGAAGTACTCCCCGGAGTGAGGTCCATGACTGTGATTTCGAGGAACAGGAGCTCAAAGATGACTCTAAGAAAAGGTATAGATAAAAGACAAGCACTTTACAATAAAACTCAACTCAACTCAACTCGTTAATAAAGCCTTGTCCCAACTTCCAAGTCATTTCATGCAATAGATTGTTATGTTGCAGAAAAACTCTGTTAAGATTGGCGGAACTAATCCGAGTTCCGTCTACTAGCTTGGAGGTATCTCCAGACGATGGCTTCTCTTGGAGGAAATATGAGCAAAAAGAAAATCTCGGATCAAAATATCCAAGGTTTGAGAATTTTCCTTTTGTAATGAATAAGAACAAAAGCATAGAGCAAATCAATACTCTATATATGTATATATATTAAGTAATGCTCCACGAGAATAATTAGCAATTGATAGTTGGTCCATTTCAATTCTAAAGCATGCAGAGTTTTTTGGCAGAGTCCTAAAAGCCTGACCGTATCTGTTGTCAACATGTCACTGGTTAAAGCTTTCCTGCCGGTAATTCATAAATTTTTCCGCATACTCTTGCCATTGAGCTTTGCCTGACCTCATATATACTAGAGCATGATAACAAATTTAACTGGATTTAGCTGTTCTTTTCTTCTTCTATCATTGAACAATTAGCTGTATAACCACCATTATACATGTAAAATCATAGCTTAACCAATAACCATCCTCTTTTTTTTTTTTTTTTTTTTTAATTACAGAAGCTATTACTGGTGCATCTCCGGAAATGCACAAGGTTGTCTGGCTCAAAAGCAAGTTCAGCGATCTGATGACGACCCAACAATCTTTGAGATCACTTACCACGGATGGCACACTTGTACTCTAGGCTCACATGTAGTGCCTTTTCTAGGACCCTTGGAAAATCAAGACCAAGAAACCTTTTATGCTTCGCCCACGATATCCGGTATTACATATTGCTCCACGAGCCCATCTCCAAGTCCGAGCGGGATGAACCCTATCATGCAGGAAGACATTGACTTTTGAACCTCCGAGCCAAGGTCATTTAGTGGCGTTTCACTTGCTAAAATATCTGTTTTAGATTTGGATTTTTTTAGTCGGATTGTCTTGAATTTGACTTAAATTAAATTTGACAATTAATAAAAGTCGATAATTCTAAATCATTACATGTTTTGATCAAATCAATGTTATAGTACAGATTGTTTTGAATTTGAATTACATATAATTTTGAATATTTTGAATTTTCGAATCAAATCAATTTAAGTTTAGTTAGGTTTGAATTTTTTTGGTTAAGTTTTTTTTCCTTTATGTTCATTTTGTCATTTCTAACCAAAATTGACAGATTAGTAAAACTTATTGAGTAAATCAATCATATTTGAAAATTAATTAAACAAAAATTTATAAAAAAGGTTAATCAATAATTGATTAACATTAAAAAAAAGTTTACCATAACTTATAGCTACATCACAAATTTAAATAAAAATATCAAAATTTATTAAGAAATCTTTTGAACTTTAACATGATTTATTAATTGAATCTCATAATTAATTTACATGTGGGTTTTTTTTTTTTTACTTTTTATTTTGATTTGACCTTACAATTTTTTTTTTTTGCTGTTCCTACTAATAATTAACCCATAATGGATGTTTTGCATGTGGAACAGTGAAAATCACGATGAAATGTGAATATTAAATGTAAGATATAAAAATATAAATTGACATACATACGAATAAGATTAATTATATATGATGTATATGTTAGATTGGTCAAACTCATATAAAATTCAAACATTTTTATGTGATAAATGTATTGACATGATCATCACATAAATACAATTGGATCAAAATTCAAATATTCCATATGACTCGTATTTGTGTTTTAAATTGTCCATTGAAGAAGCAAATGCTTTTGTTGTTTATTGTGTCAGGACGAAATCTATTCATCCATTAGTTAAATTCTACTCATTTTGATCAGTTTTGACCATTTTTAAAACCATTAACATGGCATCATCAACTTCTTTCTTTCCTTCGCTTTAACTTTCTTCATTAAAGAATATAAAAACTAAAGGAGTTTTTTTATTAAAACTCCTTTTAAGGTGGTGGGATGCTCGGTCACAGTATATATTTTCTTCCCACTCTCGGTTGTTCCAGGGTTTTCCAGAGCCATGCTACCCAGTTCTATCTCGGAAACTTTGTCAACATTCTCCACATCTTCTTCTACCCTAGTTGCATTTTTTATTTTGGCCCAATACTTTTCCTATTTACTGATTTTCCAGGCTCACATCATTCTCTTTTCCTAATTCAAGCCCAAAATTAGATGTGACCCAGTTGTGGTATCTGGGTCATGAGTAGACCCACAACCATTGCCCATTCCACTTCAATCGGAGAATACCTTAAACCAAGCAACTGAGCCTGCCCACCTGCTTGTCCTTATCAGAGCATAATCTTTCTTCACCAATTATTTACTTATCATTGGCATTGATAATACACCCAACCGCTGCAGCCTTGTCTTGGGCACGCGACTTGTTTGAATTTGGCTGCTCCTGAGCCTTAATCACAGCTGTGTCATCCATTCCCAAGGTTTCATTATCTTTTCGTCTTCTTAGGCCAATAAATTTCGAAGCAAGTTAATTCGAGGCTGCATTCACACTTTTCTGTTCGGATCCTCATGCTCCCAACCCGACTGTTCTTCTTCATGGAAACTGTCACTTTGTTATTCTCAAAAGAACTGGAGCTTGATGATGATGCACTGGATTTTACTTAAACAATTTGTTTCATTCCCGAATTCCCCCGAATTCCGCAGGAAATCGTAACTTCCTTCCAACGTGACTTTAACTTTAGAAGACCTTCCTCGTAACAGAATTGTGAATAAGTTTGGGATAAAAGCATCTTTCCTAACAAGGGTTAAAGCTCTAGCAACATAAAGACGCCTTCTCCTCATAGTACTATCATCTACTGTGATGAAAGTGCCCCACTTGTTCCTTACCTTCTTGAAGAATTCATAACACCACGCATGGAACGGAATGTTTTCTAGCTTGAGCCAGATAAATTTATTATAGCTTATTGAGTCACGGCTCCAAGACACAGTCCAAAAGAACCATTGTTCACGCCACGCTCTGCCACCCTCAAGCATGCTGAACATATCTTCTTTGGATTCAAACTGTAGAAGTACCATACTTCCTCCCATCAATGTGATTGAAAGGTGCATAACTCCTTCACTAAGAATGTACTGCTAAAGCATGTTAATAGCATGAGGGTTTTTGACTGCCGCCACCTCACACTTCTCCAACCATGCTGTCTCTAGTTCTTCCTCTTCCACAACAATCTTGTTTTGTGTTTGAGTCTTGTCATCTAGTACCGGTGGTACAATCCCCTTTGGCTCTGTTGCATTGGCATTCCCTACCATCAGTGTTTTCTGCTACGTTGGAGCATTCCTTTTGTTACTTTTGCATAGGTAGGTCTCGCATCCTCCTTAGGTGGAGTAAGGAATGTTTTTCGTTGCACATGTTTTGTTGTAGGGGTGCAATTGTAACCTTTCTCATATTTGGCCAGGCTCACCCTTAGTCTCCATCCATTCCACGCTGAACCATCCAAAGCCCTTATGACTGAGAGAGTCTCACGCAAATCTTTGAAGCAAAAAAAGCTAATTTGCTACGCCTAGACAGTTTCCTCTTGAGGGGAATGTAGAAGTCAAGGATTCTCCCGGGTTGCATGATCTTGCCCCACAGTTCTTCTTCCCTGCCATCAGGGTGGATATTATCAACAAAAACTGTTATCAACTTCCTTTTTCACTAATCTAACACTGAACGTGATTGCCTGGTCTCCATTGATCGGATACGGCTGCTTCTCCTGCCATACCCATTCCACTTTCTCTCTCTACCTGTCATCTCTCTAAATTTTTTTTTTAGCTTCATTGTTGATTCAATTGTTATACATAAAGTTCAAATTGAAAAAGTTTCAAAGTTCAGGGGAAAATGCTTATTTCATTATTCATCATAGATTCTTTTGTGAAATAATGATCTAATGTATAATTTTTCTGTATAACAATAATAATAATAATATTATTATTATTATTATCAATTGGTCTATTTGAATTTGGTAGAATTTCTATTTAAGTTGTATGTATCAAATCTCATGTGATTAAATATTGTATTGTTTTGCATTTCATTTTCTTACATTAATGTTATGCAAATGATATATCAATTAAATCATTAACCAAACATTTAGATCATGCATTTTTTATAAAAAAGAAAGCAACCTAAAAATATGGATGCATGAATTCCTTCCAGCATATGTCCCTCTTTCAAAAGAACAACAACAGACGTCCAGCATTTCTTATGGTTTTTTTTTTTTTTTTTTGTTTTTAACTTTGGATATTATGATTTTATTTTTATGTTTTAAATACTTTTAATCAATGTAATATAGATGCATTTACTTTTTTTAATCAATGGTCAAATCAAATAGATTTGATATTATATTAACCTTTTTATTATCTTATGCTTTTCCGATTATAATTGTGTGCTTGCAATCTTCATTAGATATTAAAAAAAAATTGTGACATTATACATTTAATAATGAATCAAATGGATTCCCACAACAAAGTTAGTTGGGAACTTATTTCATATTGTTTACTGGAGGTGTATTTGACATTTCAAGGTATCAAGAGGATTTAGTTTGTCATTCTTTGTATGCATGTAGATTTTGTTGTTGGATTTTATTTTTTATTTTTCTTTATGCTTAATGTGAAGTTTATTGTACGTTTTGCTATGTTTCAATGACTTTGCTTCACCAACAAGTGGTTGGTTCAATCGATTAAGATCGTTTTTATCGACGAAAAGGTCTTAGATTCGAGTCTTGTCGGTGATCATTTGTTGGGGTATCTCGAATGCACGACCTGCAGTCACCTATCTTAGATTATAAGGTACGACACATTTTATCTTGACCTTAGAGACTGAACAGTCTATCTACCATCGAATTTTTTCTTACCAAAAAAGGAAAATGACTTTGCTCCGATTTAGTATTAATTTGTTCTTTTCTCCTTACTTTTGTCATGCTTTTTGAATAACATTTTTAAAGTATGGCACCATATTGGATTATTGTGAGTTTGGAAATACAAAAAATGGATTACAAAGAGCAAAGAAAAATATGCCAAGAAAGTCGTGGAACAAATTTTTAGAGTTGTGGTTGTAGACACTGGTCATTACTCTAAGCTTAAGTTGCCCTCAATTAAAGATATTATTTTCTTCTCTCTATTAATTTTCATAAATAGGAGTTAATTCAGTCCCTCTTGATAAAAAAATAATTTTATTTCTGAAATTATTTCATGCACAACAATTTACATGTCTCTACTCCAAGCTAATGCATTTTCATAGGTGATTTAAACTTTATAACACTCTATTTTATTTTATTCTATTTTATTTATTAATTTATTATATTATAATTTTTAAATATTTTAATACTTTTAAATTAAATATATCAAAATGAAAAACATGTACCCCAGCAAAGCACGGGTCTTTTTCTAGTATATAATAGAGTTTTTTTTTCTTGAATTCAAATTTATCAAAAGATTGTAAAAAAAAAATTTGGGGAATGTAATTGTCCAACAAATTTTTACTATTGTCTCGGCAGTCTACACTGGATATTAACAATCATAAATGATTGAATAGCATCCAACCCTGGGGCGAAGCCAAGGCCTTATTTATCATTTTCATTTTAATTTTTAACACAAATTGAGTAAAGTTGCAGTCCATATATAAAATTACTATAACTCATAGCTACATTACTAATTTAAATAAAATATTGAAATTTGTAATATTGAAATTTGTTAAGAAATCTTATGAATTTTAACATATATGATTTATTAATTGAATCTTATAATTAATCTATATATGGAATTTTATTTTAATTTTCTATTTTCATTTGACCACTTCTAATTAATAACATCATAAATTCACTCTTGCTCTTCTTACTAATTATTCAACCCATAATGGACGTTATGAATGTGCAAATAGTGGAAGTCATGTTGAA